TAAATAAGCTGGTAGAGAGACAGACTCCTCTCAGGAACCATCCCTGAGTGCTGGAGAGATGGCAGAGCACATAAGGAGCAATTGGTGCTCTGACAGAGGATGGGGTTTGGTTCCCAGCACCCATGCCAGGTGGCTCACAACTACCTGCAACTCCAGCTCCAGAAGATACGATGCCCTCTTCTAGCCCCTGCAGTTACTACACTCATGAGCACATACACACAGAGATACACATAAATATAAACAAAAACTTAAAAACTGGATTCTGCACTCATTTGGCTTATGTAGACTGGTTGTGTATATTCAGACATACCACAGATTATGAACAAATATGGAGGTGATGGCTCCATGCTGTTGGTGTGCCAGTACTGAGGTCTCCGTGAATGAGGACTCCCATGATCCCTGGAATTCAGTAGCTCCCTAGGGCTTTGCCCTGTGCTCAAGGACTGTAACGGGTATAATTTGGAGACTCGCACTCTTCTAGATTCTAGTAGTAGAGGAGAACTGTCTTCACTGCCCGAGACAACCCAAACTGTCTTCTTGGTGAATACTCTCTTCCTGCTTCCTGATCCTGAACTCACTAATGTGGCACTTGCTTCTCAAACATCCCTGTCTTCCCCACAGGTCTAAGGAACTTTCTATTCTAAATAGCCTTTTTACTATAATTCGCTCATGTTATTGGTCTGTGTTACATTCCTTGGACCCAGCCGTTTGTGAGCCCAGGGTGAATAGTTTTCAATAGCTTTCTTTATTTCTTCCTCAATACTTGTACCGTTAAGGTTTTCTATGTATTCTTAGTGTAATTTATTTTGATATATTTTCCAGTCAATAAGTAATCTAATTGAACAGAATTAAATAAAACTCGTTTTAATTTCTTTTTTCCCCTAAGCATATTATTTTCACCTTTCAGGTCAGACTTTTTCCCATTACATTAATAATATGCTGTACAGGATTGGAGAGATGGCTCAGCGGGTAAGAACACTGATTGTTCTTGCAGAAGACTCAGGTTCAAATCCCATCACCCATGTGGCAGCTAACAACTGTCCATAACTACAGTTCCAGGGGATCCGACAGCCTCTTCTGTCTTCTGCGGGCATTGCACAACACGGGTGCACTTACCTACATGCAGGCAATACAAGCATGCACATAAAATAAAAATAATAAATAAAATATTTTTTAAAAATAATATGCTCTAAATTTAAAAAATTATTCAGCAATTTTTTCTTCATTTACCAGGAATCAATATCTATGACTTACTCATCACTTGTCTTATTATTCCTTGAATTACTGATTTTTCTTTTTCTTTTTGTCAGTATATTCAATTGTTTAAATTTAAATTTTTTATTTTAATAAATTCTCTTCTGATATGTAAATTATATGCTTAGTTCATAGATATGATCAAAGTTCTCAGATCCCTTCTGTACTACCTCTGAATAAAGCGTTTCCAAGCTTTTTCTAAAAATGCAGGAGAGGGTGCAGAGTTAACCAGGCACAGTAAGCAATTTTATGTAAAGATAAATTCAGTGTAAGCTGCTGGGCTCTCCTGAGGGAAATAATCACTGTTCTGGGCCAAAGAGATAGCTTTGGTAAGAGATCAGATTGGTTCAATGTAGAGCCGCATAGTTCATGGTTTTTTAAAATATTTTTATTAATTTGAGAATTTCATGCAATGTATTTTGATCACATCTCCCATCTCTCCCCTGACCTCACAATCCCGTGGCCCTCCTTGATCACATCTCCCATCTCTCCCCTGACCTCACTATCCTGTGGCCCTCCACCACTGGACTTTATATTCTCAATTATTATTGTCTTTTTTAAAGGCCTATCTAGTCTCATCTGTGCTCACCAAGTTCTCTTGGGTATGGGTATATACCTTGGAGTCTGGTCAACTTACTAACATCATGCCAGTGAGAAAACTGGCCCCCCACCCCTGCCAAGAACTATCAATTGCCAATAGATTCTCAGTTAGGACTGGGGCTCCTTGCCCACCTCCTCCATCTATAGTGGAATTTTATCTGGCATAATCTTGCACAGGTCTTGTGTATGATGTCACAAATGCTGTGGATTCATATGTGCAACTACCCTGTGGTGTCCAGATAACATGGTTTCCTTGTATTCACATAACCACTTCTGGTTCTTATAATCTTCCCACCCTCTCTTCCACAATAGATCCCTGAGCCTTGGGAAAGGAGAGGGTGTGATAAAGATGTTCCATTTTTATGTTGTATTTCTTTTATCCATTTTCTTTTTGTAAAAACATGATTTTTTTGTCTTTTTTGAGACAAGGTCTCCCTGTAGTAACAGCTGACCTGAACTCACTATGTAGACGGCTGGCCTT